TCCGCTCAGATTAGGATTTGAAAAACACCCATCGCATATCGCTCTGACATAAATCTTTTGGTTCGGAGATTACGAAGGGAAAACTCGGTAAGTTACGAGGCAACAAACACATTAGGTTCGCGTTTCAGCAAACATCCGTATCTCGGATATGACATCTCATTACGTCTGGAGATATGCATCATCGGAAATGATTTCTGATCACACGTAGATATAAAACCTCCTTTCAATATATCAAGATGTGAAATTTATTACACAGTTACTATTAATATGTGCTTCTACAATCCAACATTATCTTAGATACACATTACGTTTTATCGATTCACTGTTCTCTTGAGTGCATGTCGAATCTCGTGAGATACACGGATAGAAGATGAAGATAGAAGTTTAAGATATGAATCGAGAAAACATGCTAGATAGTTTAGGTATTATTATAGCCGAATACTGTTCCCATCTTCGAATATCACACCACAATAAACCATCCATCATTATTAGGCTTTACAGAATGATATTTTACCCACGTTGTGTGTTATGTAATCGTATGGGGGGTTTTGTATTACACAGAGAGAAATGCATATCTATGGTGCCGGTAGGGCGGTTGGAGGTTCGTGCTTATAAAAGTTAAATCCTGCTTTAAACGTATAGTGTATAGTGTCACGAGATGAATGTTCAGATCATCAACGAATATCCAGGAATTGTAATTACCTTTTTTGGTGCTTCGCCAAATAGTAAGGCAGCGTATGATTTGTATAGACCTACTTCAATCATTACTTTGTGGCAAAGTTGAATTGTTATGTTCGTGTTAATTTAGTCTGAGTGTGGAATGAGTGCAACGTAAAATAATGTTCATCATTTTGGATTATCCTAATAATCTTTATAGCGATGGGGAATATACGGGACATGTAAAATTATACATTTAACATTTAAGTGGTGGGCAGTGAGTTAATATTATATCTACTCAGATAACGGTTTAGTAGAAAAAAACAAAACAAAACAAACACGGCATTAGATTTTAGCATATGCAGCTATATATCTTATAGTAGCCATGCCGAATTCTAGTCTCGAATCATGCTTACATTGGTGCCAGCGTGAATAAACCTTATTGCCAAGTGGCGTCGTGATTTCCGTGGTTATATATGTCACGGGGCAGTGGGCGCGATAACGACAGAAAAAAGAACACTATTTGGGGTGGGGGCAAAAACGATTCTCGTGAATCTCACTCCCAGCGAGATTTCAGCGGCCATTTTTGAATAAGATCTATGATCGCCACTTTATAAAAAAAACTTTTGTGTTATCTGATTTGTGTATATTATGTCGCTACTAAAAACGAAAAAGCCTATACAACAAATGACACAAATCATTGTTATTAAGTATTCCATCTTTATGAACAAATATAAAAAAACGGCTTTACATTATAGTAAGGAAACTACAAAAGTGCATTTTCACTGGTGAAGCGAAACATTGCAATAACATTGTGGACATCGTATCAGGATAATTAATATCCAGGTAATGTCGATTAAAAGGTTTGTCAGAGTGTTTTAATTCACGTTTGTACAAAGTCGTGTTAACCTCTTGGCAAAGGTGTCTGTCTTTCAAGGAAGGTGACTGAATAGTGAGTATATATATATATATGTGTGTGTGTTCTATATGTTTGACTTTATTACCGACATGACTTACGCAAATTAAGTCAGGGCCTAAAAAATACAATTTTTCAAAAACAAAGTCGCGTAAGCCAGCTGATTTGAATCTCCATCGAAGCTGTGTTGCATTCAACGGTTTGATCCCTTTGCCATTTAACCTAAAGTAGGTTTTGAACTCTGAATGCACAACGAGACATTTTTTCATTGTCCACATTATTGTATGATAATGAAATATAATGTACATAGAATATGACGTCACACTTTGTACCCTTGTGATTGCGTTCGTGTCCAAAATGTATACAATCTTTACAGTGTCATGTAAAAGGAGAAAATTGCATGTTGAATTGAATAATAGAGTCGTCTGAAAAGAATGTTTTCAATGAAATGACAGAACGTTTTAAATGAAATTATAGAAAACAAATGGCCGCCGAGATCTCGTGGAGAGCGAGAGTCGGAAAACTTGTTTTTATTTCACAAATAGTGTTCTATTACCATGGTTACATAGCTGCGTTTTTGATTTAGCATGAACGAATCACTTTTGTAAAAAAATAAGTAATAAGGAAAATGAATCACTGGTACGTTCCGTTATAGATGTACAAGAACTACCGAACGAATACTACTCTATATACACTGCAGTTAAATCACTGGTACGTTCCGTTATAGATGTACAAGAACTATCGAACGAATACTACTCTATATACACTGCAGTTAAATCACAACGTTTTTGATTTTTGATAAAATACAACGACATAAATGTTACAGAAAATGCTAAGAAAAACACACACTCAATATTCAACAATTATCTCTTGCAATCTCCAACTTTTCTCCCGAAAAAAAGTGTCTTCAAGAGTACGTTTATAGTTGGATTGTCGCAGGTGTGCCACATGTACAAGTCGGACTAGCGGGATTAGACCACGCGTAATGCAATGAGTTTGTGGCGGTCAAATTGTATATCGATATCAATTAAATTCCCTTGCCTGAGTAACACCAAGCCCTTGAATTATTCTGCGGATATCTGTGAAAACTTGTCCGCTCATTAATCGTAGGTACCCATTATTCATTTTTGAAACATGGTGCGAAGTTGTGCTTGATTGTCTCATGTCGTGTTTCGCACAACGCTTCCCCGACTCAGACAACATGTGCGTTCTGAAATGTTAGACAACAAGTTAGATATAGTTCTGATATAGTGTGAACTTGAACGATTAGAACGTGCTCACCACATTCACTACCCATATATATATATTAGAAGCGCCACGAGGGAGCTCACGTAATTTACTTTATGGCACGAGTTATGACAAATAGACACAAAGATAATACACCATATTTTTTTCCCACTCAATAGTAAATTATAAACAAATCATGTTTCGGAACGCGGCACTTTATGTTGGCATGAGCCTTGAGACAGTTTCTTCTGTCCGTGAACGCAATGTTTCTTTGTGAGGCATGAATCACGAATCAAGGATATACGATATCATAGGGTATATGTAGATTGACCACAATACGTTATTTTGTGTACATACATAAGATAGGAACACATCACTGAAACATAAAATAATGACAGCGTGCACCATACAATGGCATTTGAATTGAAATAATCGGTATAGCATATGAACAAAGTGTTCGGCGTAGTAATGATCTTTCTTACTTCCGTAATCAGTCCACTGTGCTTTCTAAGTTAACCGATTGAACGTGCACAAATGTTATACATGGGCTTGCATTGTGCAAACGTGCTCAAACCATTATTCTGTAAATCTTTGTAATATCACAAAGAAGACGCATAAATTTGAAAAGGATTATTTTAAGTACTACTTTAAATAATTAAAATATTTCCCGGTACAAGGATATTGCGTAAATGCATTTATAAATATTTCCGGTGACAAGCTATGTGTTCAACCATAGTCAGGATATAATGGTTTCACACGCTGAAAATATCCATACGTACGTTTATCAGCTTTTAATCTGTTTCGACGTTGAAATTGTTCAATGTCACGGTGAATACATTCCCCAAATTGTATTACATACAACCAGGCTGCATACCCTGACACCGAGTAGTCGCGCATTTATGTCAAACATTATTAATGCAAGGTATACAAAACGGCACAGATTCCAGTGTTGTTAGGCAGATGGTAACTTCGTATTCCGGTATTTATAATCTGGCGACGAGGTCAATGAATTATAATAATACATACAACATATTTGGTGTATATATTATTAATCGTCAAGGCCATCTTAGTAATTAGGCACAACAGAATACTCTTTATTCTGTTTATTTCCAAACGCTACTGTTCATGAACTTATCCGTAGGTATTACGTATCAGCATCAGTCAGCGTAGTCTTGTGGCCGCCAGTATACTATGAGGTGGAATTCTTCTCCTCTGGGTTCTCCACACGTGTCAGGGGGGAATCTCGTCTCGTCTCTATATCTCGTCCCCTTGAGGTACGGGATCGGGAACGTCACTTAAGCTTTTACAGTCAAATAAGGCACACACAACGAAATACGTTTCAACTCTCGTCTTAGTCGATCAGTCGAGCACTCTATAAGACACAGCGCCCTGGGGAAAGATCCCCAAGACTATCGCAAGGCTGACCCAAGACTCGCCCAAGACTCTCCTGGACTGCGTCTGTCCTGATGTACTCGCCAAGACCAACTAAAACAACTTTATTCATTTTCAAAACATTAACCAATTACAAAGCAGTAAAAAGACTCTATGGCGTAACCTTCAATCATAAAGCCAATCACACTAAGTACTGAACACGTCATATCTTTTGATTAATCGTTCACTACATTAATAACTACGTACAAATACCAACTGTCAGAAATAGTAGTCCGGATGGCGACGGTTATCTCGTAATTAGTTCCAAATCACTGAGTCGAGTTCCGTCCAGGACCTCGCCTGTCTAAACGATGACAGACATAACACAGCCATTCGCTAATAATCAGCTAATTAAGTCGATCAACAAATACGCAAAAACAAATTCATCATAATACCATACAAAGCACCGTCAATCCGTATTATCAGTGTACGTTCCCATCGCCATCGTTATGATCATTCACATAAAATACCGATACATGCTATCGGAATAGTGCGACACCCATGTCCCATGGGATATTTGGCACTTTCTGGAAAAGCTGTTACTTATTTAGGCAGCAGAGGCGACAGCCAGTAGTAGTAGTAGTAGTAGTATGAGTAGCGGTAGCCGCATTGTGTTAACATACATTGCAAACACACGACATTGCAAAATGAACTGTAAAGCAACGAAAAAAGTTTGTACAAACATACTGGCAGTTTGTGACACCTGCGCCTGTGAAAGGTTTAGAGAATATTAGAATATTGCCATTCACAATCTTATTTTATCTTGCAGGTATTAACGAAATCAGAGTATTTTAACTGATGGCAACCCGTAGATGGTGAGGCGATAAACCCAGGAAACAATCTGTTATTATAGCAGTGTCGAGGTAGTACATTATTACTAGCATGTGTTTTATTAATTATATTATTTAGAATAGTATTGAACTTAAATATTAACGTTATTGAGCGAGTGAATAAGTGAGTGGGTGAGAGACGGACTGACAAGATTAAGACTGACTGAAAAACAGTATGTCATCGGATGATGCAATGGAAACAACACTAATATCAGCAAATCTGCCGGGACTAGTTTTGCGATTACAACCACCTAGTAAGAATCACAGAAGATAATACAAAACGTCCGGAGAAATAATCGAAATTTGTTACTTGTTATAATGGTCATGTACTATTTAAAAGCATTGCGTAAGTTCTATAGTCCCATCATATTTATGCAGATTTTCAGTGTTCCACGTCGACCGCGGATTATGGGTTAGAATCGCTTAGCACTTAGCTATCTACTGCGGCGCGACAGTCGTTTCTGAAATCCAACTAAACGCGATATCGGTTGTCAGTATCGGACCGCGCTGTCAGTAAGCAGGCAAAACAACTATGTAAACCACGTGATATTGTCAACAGTACGCCTAACCCGACAAGCTTTTTTGATAGAATAGCGAATAATTTTCTTCGATCCCTTCTGTAATTACATAATTGTCGATGAGGGTGTGAATACGACACTCCTCACCAAAAATCAACACTCGCGATCAATCCCGAGGGCTTTTTAAAAAGGTTATACGTCCATACATGTTTATGAATATACGTATATTCAATCAGAAATTTTCACTCAAATACTAATATATTCCCTTACATTGACGAATAATATGTCTGGTTTCACATGTTGACAGGTCGGTCTAAAACTTCTCTCATATAAATAAAAAAATCTATTTATTTAATTAATTTTGCTTTCGACCGTAAAGTTGAAGCAGCCATGCGTACATGCGTGCGTGCGTGTCTGTACAGGTTATACCGACCACTGTTATTATTAGCATAATGCTATATGTGCCGAACACTAAGCCGATGTGATTGCTTCATAATGGTACTCACGCATTATGCAAATAAACTTTCGTTTGAGCGGATGGTACGTGGTGACACGGTGATGTAGTATATATCAATACGCGATAGTTGTTTCGAGGTAATATCCCCGAGGAGCCGTAGATCGATGTTGTTGCCGTTGTTGCCCAGTATTTTTTAGAGAAAATTAACTGACATTTATCTGCTGCGAGGTACCTTTGTTTTCGTTAGCTGCCTAGCAAAGCGCGGGCTTGAAATGTTAGACCTTGCCTCGATAGGGTCATTAGTGAGGGTTCACAGTGGAATTCCACTGTCGTCGGCTTCATTAAAAACAAATGTTACCGACAAATCCACGGGCTCTGGAAAATTGGTTAATAACAATCGTTATTCTTTGTTCTGTACACATCAGGTAAACAAGAACCAGGATGTTTGCGAATGTAACGTTTACCAACAATACTGAAAATCTTACGGATTCACAGTCGAGAAGCAACGAGACCACGATGTATACGGCCTTACCGAAGGATGATTTCCCGCTATGGGAAGTGGTTATATCTGCGGTCTTTATGCTATTGCTGCTTATCACCATAGCAATTGGCAACATATTTGTGATTGTAGCCGTTAACACACAGCGTGCGCTACAACAAGTGCAGAATTATTTTCTAGTATCCCTCGCCGTCGCCGACCTGACAATTGCTCTTTTCGTGTTGCCGTTTGCTATCGCCAATCACATTATCGGATACTGGGTCTTTGGTTACGTGTTTTGCGATTTCTACACAACTAGCGACTTGATTTGTTGCACCGCATCTATTTGTAATTTGTGTGCTATCGCGATTGACCGATACCTCGCAATAACAGACCCTATCAATTACGCCAGCAGACGCACCAAAAGGAACATCTTGTTGTCTATCGCCGTGGTGTGGATTGTTAGCGCGGTGATCTCTTTTCCTCCTATACTTGGATGGAACGACTACACCGATCGAGGACCTAATCAGAACCAGTGGCGGATGGTATGTCACATTACAACAGAAAAAGGATACATTGCGTTTTCGGCTGTGGCAGCATTTTTCCTGCCGCTAGTCATCATGTCTACTGTATACTATCGCATATGGGTCGCCGCCAAGGACAGAATACGTGGACGACGAAGAGAAAAAGCAAATAGCCAGGCAACTACGTACCTGGGGTCAAATTTGCAAGGTCATAAGACGGACGTATCTGGAAAGGGGTCAAAAAACAAATCAATAGACAGCGTCGGTGACCAGCACGAAATGAAGCCACGGCAAACAGACTCCTCTTCACGCAGCGATACGAAAAGCGGGACCTCGTCGAGTAATGGAATGAACATATCCAACAAGATTGCTAGCGCCGCGCAAAATGAGGCATGTGGAAGTGCAAGCGTGTCTATCTCTAGTTTTCATGTCAAAATGCACCAGGAGAAACAGAAAATCAACGTAATGCGCGAACGCAAAGCAGCTACGACACTTGGGATTGTAATGGGACTCTTCATATTGTGCTGGTTGCCGTATTTTCTGATGTATGTCATTATACCTTTCTGCGAATGTGGGGCACCAGTTAGACAGTTGGAAGCCTTTATTGTATGGCTTGGATACGTAAATAGTGCTCTAAACCCTATCGTATATACAATTTTCAATAAAGATTTTAGGAAAGCATTTCACAAGCTGATAGTCAGAAGAATTCCACTACCAGGTAGACGACATTGAATATATAATAAGTGATTTTGTTTTCTAACTAACAATGGGACATACTACCGGTACGACTATAAGAGCAAATATAACTCGTTTCCATCACACTTTTAGGTTTTTAAAACTATTGACTGCATAGAGTGTATTTGGAATATGGACATATGTGCGCATATTTTCGCTAGTAATGTGCTTGACTATAGGCTTGTTATATGATTGCCTATATTGGTACATTTGATGTCATGCGACGGGTGTTACACACTTAGTCAAGTAGGTTGCTTTAAAATCGACTTTCCAAATAGGCAATCGATATGATATATTCATTACAATGCCGAATACAACAGAATATAGAAAATAGACTTCTCGACGATCCATTATATGCCTAATATTTCTACGTATATGATTAAAAGATCATTGGAAACATGTTTTAGCTAAGTAACAGTAGTGAATGCTTTGCGTAAAAATATTTCCCGAGGCAGGTGCCGATAAAATAGTAATACACTGTCCGTAACCTCTATTATGATTTCAAACTCAGACATATTCGTTCCATAATTTTCTACTTCCCGTTTCTAATGACTTCCGTATAGCATATGTTTATACGGTCTGTGACTGAAGGTTGCAATGCATTGATTTGTGCACGGGATGGTTCAAATAAATGCAACATTGTCAATTTGTTTTTGTTTGTTTTTTGCAATAAAGGCTATTGTATTGTCTGGTCCGCATACACATTTAGCAATGCGTCTCTCTCTCTGAATACTATTTCCTAGTTTAAAAATCTCAGGCTTCATGTTTTTCTATAGCTCATATGGACCAGCACATTGTTCTCATTGGTTCCGTATGTGATCTACTTCCTGTCCGAATGTAAAACCTCGTCATATTTTAAAATGTATGTGTTAACATTGTAAACCATTTGGTATCTAAAAAACAACGTGAATGTGATGAATGTCGGTTTCAAAATGACTCATCACTGTTTTACACGTCAGAAAAAAATCGCATATCATATGTGATTGCAAAAAAAAGAATATGTTGATGATGGATATGGTGCTACGCCAAACAGTCATGATGAATTATTGCAGTTTATCGAGTCTGTGAATAACTTCAATCCAGCTATACAGTACACACAAATGATTTCAGATTTTGATGATCGTTTTACTATCTCAAATTACTCTAAATCTACCGGTTCGTATTGTTACCTTATTGTTACAGTCTTCATATTCGATAAGTGCAATGACTCAATCTGATACAATCTACCCAATTACTCTATGCACGTCGTTGCAGCGATGTTACAGATTTTCCGAACTAGGCTAATAACATGTGTGATTTGTTCGTAGACGTGGTTACTCAAAGAACGGCAATTCTAAAAATTCGCGTAAGAAAAAATGGAGTCCCACACCCGAAAATGCCTGGAACTTGTCTCATAGGAGCCGAACTTTGTGCATTGGATTCTATCCAAAATGATTTTTTGAATAAACTAAACGAGCTTGTCGTTTTTAGAGCAAATTAGTGTGTGTATTGTTCGAACATTGGCAAACGAATTGTTCTGCAGGTGAGAAATTCATTTAATAAACAAGATGATATTGGAAGTTATGTATTAGGCGATGATACTAATATGAATTGTTTGTTCGTCTAGTATGTCATTGTCATCATTCCCAACGCTGCAGGGGCGGATCTAGGATTCTGGAATAGGGGGCCGATAAGTTGGCCTAAGGCCAAGTTCGCGAGCGCTGATGGCGCGAAGCCCTGTTGGTTGTTAAAAATACTATAGGAGGAGCGGCCCCCTCGGCCCCCATCAAATCCGCCAATGCGCTGCGATATTCCTTATTTATAAACCAGTGTTTTTATTAACGTTGTTGACGGCACCTGTATTCTATGTATCTCAGACAATCCTACTAATATTATCAAATCAGAGAACGACATACAACACCGTTTCATGTACGTTCGCTCACGAATACAGAACGTACGATTGTTCCGTTTTTTACACTGTTGTCTCACACCCAGTTATCCGAGTCAGAGAATAAATAACGATCGTATCACGCTTATATATTTTCCATTGAACAATTCATTTAACAAAACAGCGATGACAATAAAAAAGGAGGAGGAGGCCTCTGAATCTTTTTCAGGTTAATGTTCCGATTGGTGATTTGGTGGTTATTGGTGGATTCAGCTGTATGGACTTGATTGTATTTCATATAAGGGACTGGACGTTTTCCTCGGCTTGCGGGGGGGGGGTCGCCGGGTAATCTGATTTCGCAAAAATAGGATGGACTTTGGGCCCCTCAAACAAAAAACAAAAAAGAGTGCCCTCCTCTTCATAATATCTTAAAATACAGTGAAACGTAAAGTGTTTTTAATATGTATTACTTGGTTTACTATAGATAAAGATAAGGTTTTGTGACTTGTCACCAGGTTCCTGCTCTCTTCCCTGATATGGTGATATAGACATCCTGAATTGTCTCAATTTCTTCATCTTCAGAATCATCACTTCTGGTTTCCTGAGCAACAATATTATCGATCTCTGAATCATCCACTGTAGAATCTGCTGTATATCTATCGATGGCACGTGATTTCTGAATGTACTCCACTATTCTCCCTTTCTGCATCATTTTCATCTTTTTTTTAGAACATCACATGTGACAGCTCTAACTTTATCTTGCTTCTTACCGTTCCTGGAAAAAACTGTGATGTTGTGAAGTATTTTACAAGCTTAGTTATCAACATATCTTCTAGTTTACAATTAACAACAATATCCAACCAATTTTAGTATCTATATTATTTTGTTCTCCTTCTTAATTTTGTTATGTTGATGCAGGATATACAGAAACTTTAGGTAATACAAATAGCTCATATACCAGGTTATGTTATTTACTGTTGCTTCGATATTTTGTTTTTAGTAATAAACTTTATTTCAACTATGTATTTTTTTCTTCATATAATGAAACTGGCTACCCTTATCCAGGCTATGAAAAAGACATGCTCCCTTTGTTCCATTTCAAAATAGCTTACCCCTGCTCACCGGCAGCCACCCCCTACCGAATAAAATGACCATTCCCTAAGAATTATCGAGAAAAATACATCGGTGTTATAGTGTGTCGAATTATGGATCGTTTGACTGAATATCTACAACAATTATATTTTTTTGGGGTATTTTGATTATCCATTCCTGGTGTCAGTTTTGTCAATGACATCGAAACTCGCCTAAGGTGCGTGAAATAAAAGTGATTCCAAAGTGGTTTTACGTCTGCATACTCACGTCAAAGCATACGTGTGGAGTTTGATGTGGTCCCGGTCCAACTTTTCCTCGCATGACCAGCATGACTTGACTGTTTTAATGGCTTGCACTACGTGATTTAAAACATGTTCACGGGGAGGCCATGTGCACATTAGCTCCACTAGAAGATGACATTAAACATGTTGGGGATGTTTCATACCATATTTGTACATTTAAATTTAAACCATGACGTAACCCGTTCTTATCTATTGATATCTATATAAAATATACAGAGATTACGTTATTATAAATTATGTGCAATTCATTTACCTTGTTAAATGTGCAATTTGTATTCTGAAGGCAATTCGAAAGTTTAAACCTCACCCACACATGTAAATTACCTATCCAAACGAATACCTTTTATACACAATTGCATACGAATAAGAACATTATCTGACAACAGAAAAGCACAATGTGTATCCGTTGGTATCCGCAGATACTTTGTTGAAAAATATATAGACCAATCAAGACAAATATGTTTTCAAATACAAATTCGAGTATACTGATAAAGTATTCGTCAGTGTGGAAGAGTCTTGTTTATGGAAACGTATCCAACAATTATATATTTGTAATGTAATTTATAATTAACACAAATCCTGATGTTATTAATGCATTATTAAAACTTTAGTTTATCATGGGGTAAAGATGTATACAGGCTAGAGAAATCAAAAGTGGTATTTGAAGTCACATTGAAAGGTGATTTTCTTTTTTTTTAATTTTTATAAAAGTTCATGACGTAATGGGTATATATTTCGCATCTTACCCAACAACTTTATTTAATAATCAAATAAAAGTTATCTAAATCCAATTCTGAAATCACGTTTTTCATTTGTTTTAAAATTTGTCATGATCACGCATTCACACTAAACCCCAAACTAATATAAAACATATCGAAATAACTTGGTTTTTAGGTTGAATAGTCCTAATACATGGTCACTCAAGTTAAGCGATTTCTATTTCGACTAACACGTGTGCATAGTATGGTAAAATGGTATTTAAAGGGGAGCAGAGGTGTGGAAACAACTTGTATGTGCTGCGAAATGCCCTAAATATCGGGTATAAAACGGGCTGTGAAGCAGACGACAAACGTCCGCTTTTCCTGGCGTCATTTCGCCTCTAGAGGGCCAGTCAAATGACGTCATCAGTGAACACTGATAATTCAACCCATTCATGCTAGTATGTCAATCCCATAGAAATGCTACTATGAAAGACCTTGTTAACTGTCTACTTAAAAGTTGAAATATGGCGAGGTGTTGTGTTATGAATGCCATAACAATTCATGTTATGTATGTTTCGCGAAATCCCAAATATAAAATCACGTTGTTGGTTGCGGAAGAACTGACCTGAAAGTGAAGACAGTACAACGTTCTGGCTATAGTAAACAGTGAGTGAATAAATATTGTACGAGTTAAAACTAAATGAGAAATATGCTAATATCACTTGAACCACAGTACTCATTTTGCCCAACTTCTCCCTTTTTAAACGATCGCTTAATTTCCGACCGCACTGTATTTTCCGATCGGAAAACGACCACATTTTTACAGTTTTTTTTTCTCTCGCTCGCTTATTGAAAACACCGACCGCTCGCCCAAACACTGGTCACCGGCACAGGAGTAGTCAAAATGTTTGGGGATATACAAAGGAAATTCTGAACGGCTCTTCAAATCTATACCACTCTGTATCGTTCGCGAACAACTTCATCTGTGTCAAATACTAGAGCCGTTACAATATTGTAAACAAATGCCATGATATC